CATTACAACTTCTTATTCTTCAAATGATATTTCTCCATTTTTGGAAATGTTCACATTGCTTTTGGTCAGGATACTTTCCATTGCAAGTAAAAGAAAACCCTGTCTAAGTGGGATTCAAGGGTAAAGAACTTTGTTGATTTGCATAATTGAAAAGCTAGAAGTATCAGAGGCTTTCGGTATGGAGAGGTATTTGTTAAGGGTTTGTTCTTTTTTTTTGGTTTTTTTGAGACAAGGTTTCCAATGCAGCCAGTCTGGCCTTCAGCGCTGCTCTTCCCACTTCAGCCTCCCAAGTGCTGGCCATCACGTGCAGGCACCACATCCAGCACTCAGCAGGCTTTAACAGTTCCTTAATTCATATCTACTTGCCACACACCATCTAGAGATAGCATGATTTGGTCCCACAGTTCCCTTAAGTGTAGTCCTGAGATTTAATCTTTGGGCCAGCCTAGGTCCCATGTCCATCCTAGATTGATGTTGATTGCATCTCCTGGAAACTGGGACGGAGTGGGCTTCCCCTGCTCTAAACCCTAAAGCACAGATGAACTGCTTTTGGAGGTGGGAAGTGAATACCTGAAGTGGCAATACCAGATGCCCCTGTGAGTCTTTTCCTGTGTTCAGAATTATTCATGCTAGCTAGGCATGGTGAAGCATGCCTTTAATTCCAGCACCCAGAAAGCAGAGGCAGGTGAATTTCTGAGTTTGAGGCCAGCCTGGTCTGTATAGCAAGTTCCATGCCAGCTGGGGCTACAGGGAGAGCCTGTCTAAAAAAAAAAACGAAAAAGAAATTTTTTTTTCATTCTATACTTGAGCTTGCCATATGCCAAGTACTCTGCTGACTGGAATACTCAGACTAGAATGTGGGGATAGGATGTATACCTATCCTCAGGACTCAAGATGGCAGACCTGAGCTGGTATGGCTGTACATGCCTGTAATTCCCGCACTCAGGAGCCCGATACAGGATTGCTTCAGCTTAGGCTACGTAGTGAGTTCCATGCCAACCATGGCTGTTTCTGAAACAAAACAAAACAAAACAAGAACAGAACCTAGTATTTTGTCTGTTTTTGTAATTAATAAAACCTTTTTAAGTCAGTCTCATGTAGCCCAGGCTACTTTGGACTCCTGATCTTTCTGCCTCCACATCCTAAGTGCTGAGATCACAGGAGGGTGCCATCACACCCTGTTTATATGGGGCTAGGGATCTAACCCAGGGCCTGGTGTGTGCTAGGCTGGCACTCTACCGTTTGGACTGTATCTCCAGCCTAAGCCTAATTGTTTAAATGTTATTTTTGCAAGCTTCTGAAGAGTGTGTATGTGGGTGTACTTATATTTAAATTGTAAAAACAGTGCAGCATCCTTGTATCTAGTTCATATTTGCTATTGATGTAGGCATTGTGAAGTTCCCTGGCTTTTTTGCTTATTAGATTTTAATGTTTTTCTTCAAGGGAGATTAGCCAAGCTGCAGGAAAGGCTGTACCTGGAACCATTGATGAGGAGAGCAGTGGAAACAATGCCCAGTGAGTTCCCGAAGCCGCCTGAGGACAGTGGGCTTCTCATTTTCAAGAGTTGCCTTTTTATTTATTTTTTTAATATTATTTTTATTTTATGTGTATGAGTGTTATGCCTGCATATACGTAAGTGCACCCATGTCGTGCAATGCCTACGGAGGGCAGAAGAGGCTGTCAGATCCCCTGGAACTGGAGTTATGGACAGCTGTTAGTTGCCATGTGGGTGCTGGGATTTGATCCTGGGTCTTCTGCAAGAACAACCAGTGTTCTTAACCGCTGAGCCATCTCTCCAGCCCCAAGAGTTGCCTTTTTCAAAATGAAGAATTTTCTATTTATAAAAGTAATTCCCATCACAAGAACTCCAAAATCCCTACCAATAAAAGTCCAGTTGGGTGCTGGAGAAATGACCGAGCTGTTAAGAGTGCATGCTACTCTTGGAGAAGACCCGAGTTCATTTCCCAGCATCTACATTAGGCAGCTCACCACTGCTTATAACTCCAGCTCCAGGGGATCCTCTACTGAACTCTGCAGACACTTGTACTCACATATACACAGTCCCACATACATATGCGCATATGCACATTATTAAAAACTAAAAATAAATCTTGAAAATAGCTTACAAGGAAGAAAGTAGAAGTTCTGTGCTGTAAGGCAGTGCTCCTACCCGAGGAGCATTATATCTTGAGAGTAGAGAATTTAGGTTTCTAGGGTTTTTTCATATATAATACATAGATGAGTACTTTATTCTTTTAAATGACTGGGTTAAATTACATGTGTCTTAATTTCATCTAACAAGTCCCCTATTATTGGACATTTAGATAATTCATGATATTTTGCTTTAATAATACTATGGAACATTCACTGTGCATTTACTATGCAATAGCATGTCTTATTTAATCCTCACACCAGTCCTAGAAGGGCTGAGATAATACATGGTAGGAGGTAATTACCCAAATTCATGTAATTAATGTGTTGTCAGAACTTATATTCAGACCTCTGTGGTCTGCTCCAGAGTCTTCTTTTGCCACAGGCTTGCTGTGTGTCCCAGGCTGGCCTGGAACTTGCTCTGTAGTTCAGGCCAGCTTCACAGTCCTGCCTCAGGCCTTCTGAGTGCTGGGATTACAAACTAAGCTACCATGTCTTCCAGAGCCTATACTTTGTATTTTATTACATTTTTATTTATTTTGTATCCATGTATGTGTATGTGTTTGGGTGCACATGCCACAGCATGTGTGTGGAGGTCAGAGAACAACTTGTGGGAGTTGGTTCTCTCCTTCCACTGTGTGGATCCTGGGGATTGAATTCAGGTCTTTAGGCTTGGCAGCAAGCCTGCTAAGCTGTCTTGCTTGCCCCTAAAATTCATTTTATGAACGTTGGGGTGTGTTTACTTTCTTACAGGGCTCTCACCTTTGTCTACCCTTTTGGTGCCACGTTGAATGTCATGAAACCAGCAGTGGCTGTTCTGTCCACAGGCTCTGTCTGCTTCCCACTTAACAGACCCATTCTGGCTTTCTACCACTCAAAGGTATTGACTTCCTTATAGAGAGTAGGGGAGTTTGGTTTACTATTAAAGTAATAAAATGACCTTGCTATTTCATATTTATGGGCCTCATATATTATCTCATTGGTCTTCATGCCAGACTGTCTAAGAGTATTTCAAGATTTAATGTTTTACTCATGGGAAAGCAGTAGATTGTTCAGTAATTGATGGAGTCAAGTTCTAAACTTAGCTCTTACCAATTCCACAGCCACAGCTTTTCCACTAGAACATAAGGCTGCATGCTCTATAATTCTCTCTCTTTTTTAAAAAGATATTTTTTATTAGTGTTTTGAGACAGTGTCTCCCTGTGGTACCAGCTGGCCTGGAACTCTATGTAGACCAGACTGGCCTTGATCTCACAGAGATCTGCTTGCCTCTGCCTCCCAAATGCTGGGACTAAATGTGTCTGCCACCATAACTGGCTGATTTATTTTATTTACTTTTTTATTTAAATTAAAAACAATTATGTGTATGAGTATTTTGTCTGCATGTATGTAACCACAACTTGGCATGCAATGCTCACAGAATTCAGGAGAGGGTGTCAGACTCCCTGGAACTGGAGTTATGGCTGGTGGTTAGCTGCCATGTGGGTGCTGAGAACTGAACCCAGGTCTTCTGCAAGAGTGGCCAGCGCTCTTAGCTTCTGAGCCATCTCTCCAGCTCCTTTATTTTTAATTATGTGTATATGTGTGTGTCTGTATGTGGATGTATGCACAAGAATACAGGTGTCCATGGAGGCCAGAAGAAGGCACTGAATCCCGAGCTGGAGTTACTAGTGGTTGTGAGCCACCTGATGTGAGTGCTGGGTACTGAACTTGGGTCCTGTGCAAGAGCAATGCATGCTCTTAACCACTGAGCCATCTCTCCAGCCCCTTGCTGTATAATTCTAAAATAAATTTTAATCCCATCTTTGATCTAATCTCACCTTCAGTGTAGAGGGAGTGCTTTCAGGAAAAGGTAGAGTTAATAAACCATGCAATTTGTTCTAGAATTCCTAGTGAATTCCTAGAAAGATATATCAGAACTCTAGTTGTCCAGGTCTCTCATTTTAGAGACCCCACAGGGATATGAGAACAGTTATGGGACAGTTCTTGTTCTGGGATCGAATTTGGGTTGCCAGGCTCAGCAGCAAGTGCCTTTACTTGCTGACCCTCTTTTAAACAGTAGAGACATTCATTTACTTCATAAAAAATGAATCTGGGGTATGGTCCCTTTTAGGATGACCATGCACCAGTGGATGACCCCACTCATGCATATTTAGGCAGCACTAATTGTACTCAGTGGGTTATAAAATAAAAATACTCTTTGATTTGTTGTTTTGGTTTTTTAACAATTAATTTTTATTTTATGTCTACGAGTATATTGCTTGTGTGTATGTACAATGCAATGGAGGCTAGAATAGAGGGTTGGATCCTTTGGAACTGGAATTAAGGATAGATGTTAACCTCCATGTAGGTGCTGGGACCTGAACCCAGGTCCTCTGGAAGAGCAGCCAGTGCTTTTAACCACTGAGCCCATCTCTCCAGCTCCTGGAGCTGGTTCTGTACCCAGAGTTGGTCTGGAACTCTTATGTAGCCCAGGCTAGCCTTTAACTCATGACAATCCTCCCATCTCTGGGATTATAATTATGAGCCCTATACCTGGTTTCAGCCTTAAAAAACTTTTTTTTGGGACTGGAGAGGTGGCTCAGCAGTTAAGAGCACTGGCTGTTCTTACAGAGCACCTTATTTCAGTTCCCAGCACCCACATGGTGGCTTTCAACCTTCTGTAACTCCAGTTCCAGGGGAGTCTGACTCCCTCTTCAGACCTCTGTGGGTATTTCATAATACAGGTGTACTTACATACATGTAGGAAATACACATAAAATAAAAATAATAAAACATTTAAAAGCCTTTTTACAAATTTAACTTTTGAAATTTTAATTGCATTTTTTATTTGCATGGGGGTCATGCATGTGTTATGGCATGTGTATGTAGGTCAGAGGACAACTTATAGAAGTTGGTTCTCTCTCTCTACCATGTGTGTCCCAGGGATTGAACTCAAGTCACCAGGCTTGGTGGCAAGCACCTTTACCTGATGAGCCATCTCACCTACCCTTGTGTGTATGTGTGTGGGGTATGTGTGTGTATGCATGGGTGTGTGTGTGAATTCAGGCATGGATGTACAGTGGCACACATGTGGAAGTCAAAGGACAACCTTTGATATCTGTCTTTGCTTTCTACTTTGTTTGAGCAGAGTCTTTTGGGTTTTTCACTGGTGTATATGCCAGGTCAGCTGGCCCACAAGATTCTAGAATTCTCCTGTTTCTACCTACCATCTCCCCCTTAGGAACACTGGGATACAGATGTGCATGCTACTCTGGCTGGTTTATGTAGGTCCTGGAAATTTGAACTCAGATCTCCATGCTTGTGTAAAAAGTACTTTACCCACCAAATTGTCTCCCCAGCCCTTGCTGTGATCCTGACAATTTTAGCAGCAGTGTGGTGAAAGAACTTTCACTGAAACCTAACCAACATTAATTGTAGTCATTTTTTCATATTTATTCATCCGAAAGGCAAAAGTACTTTATTTTCATTTGTTAAAAATGACTAGTGTGGCGCTGGAAAGATGGCTTAGGGTTAAGAGCACTGACTGCTCTTGCAATGGACCAGGGTCCAGTACCCAGCACCCACATGGTGGCTAACAACTCTCTGTAACTCCAGTTCCAGGGGATCTGATGCCCTCTTCTGGCCTCTGCAGGCATTGCACACAAATAGTGCACTTACATATATACACATAAAACACTCATCTACATAAGATAAAAATTAGTGACCACTTTTTAAAAAAATATTTATTATTTTTATTTTATGTGTATGAGTGTATTGGCCTGCATGCATATAAAAACACCTGTGTCCTGAAATGCCCATGGAGGTCAGACTGGAGTTAAGGATGGTTCATAGCCGCCATGTGGGTGCTGGGAATCAAACCCCAGTCCTCTGCAAGAGCAGTCAGTGCTCTTAACCGCTGAGCCTTCTTGTTAACTAGTATATTTTGTGAAATTTTCATATTTGTGTGAATTTGGTACTTATATCTTCAATTCTCTATAGAATATCTTTTGGATTTTCTTTTTTTATTAAAAAATTTTTTTACGTGTATGAATGTTTTGCCTGTATGTATGTAACTATATAATATGTGTGCCTGCTGCCCACAGAGGCCAGAACTGTTTAATCTCACTTTAGACACATATAAGTAAATTCCACAGGATTTTGCTCCCTTGTTAGTTCTTATAAATGCAGACCTTTTTTTTTTTTTTTTTGGTCTTTTTGAGACAGCGTCTCCCTGTAGCCCCAGCTGTCCTGGAACTCACTATGTAGACCAGGCTGGCCTCGAACTCACAAAGATCCACCTGCCTCTGCCTCCCAAGTGCTGGGATTAAAGAAAGGCGTGTGCTACCACGCTGGGCTATAAATGCAGATCTTTTATTTCATTTTACTTATTTTGTTTTTGAGTCAGAGCCTTACTATGTAGCCCTGGCTGGCCTGGAATTCATTATGTAGACCATGTTAGCCTTGAATTTGCGTCAGTACTCCTGCCTCTGCTTCCCAAATGCTGGGATTATAGGTGTGTGCCACCATGTCCAGGTAAAGATCATTTTTATGTACTTGATTTTTGCTGACAGTCTCATGTAGCCCAGTCCTCCAACTCACTATGCATCTGAAGCTGGTTTTTAACTTCTTACCCTCTTACCTTTGCCTCTGAAGTATAGGGATTACAGTCGTGTGCCAACACACCTGACTCAATAATTATACTTTTTTCTTTTAGTTTTTTTTTTTTTTTTTTCAGTTTTTTAAAAATTTCATTTAAGCTGGGGGTGGTGGTGCACACCTTTAGTCTCAGCACTCTGGAGGCAGATGCAGGTGGATCTCTGTGAGTTCAAGGCCAGCCTGGTCTACATAGTTCCAGGCCATCTGGGGCTACAGGGAGACCCTGTCTCAACCAAAAAAAATTTTTCATTTGTTATTTTTATTTTATGTGTATGAGTGTATTGCCTGCATGCATGTAAGTGCAACCAAGTTGTACAATGCCCATGGAGTCAGAAGAGGGCATCAGGTCCCCTAGAACTGGGTTATACTTGGTTGTTATCTGTCATGTAGGTGCTAAGAGTCAAACCCGGGTCCTCTGCGAGAGCAGCCAGTGCTTTTCAGGTGTCAAAATCCTTATGTGAATTGGCATTCATTATTGTGTCAGACAGTTGCTTTGTGATTCTGATGATTAATGGTCTATGCAGTTTGTTTTGGGATCTGAGTATCTGACATTGATTTGTCACCAATAGAACACAGGTGGGAAGTTGGCAGTGCTTGGCTCATGTCACATGTTCAGTGACCAATATTTGGATAAAGAAGAAAACAGCAAAATCATGGTAAGCTACTCTTTGATCATGAGTGGGAGTTAGCAAGGGTTATATGTAGTATTGTAATACTACAATGGTTAGTGATAAGGGATGAAGCAAAGGCATGGCCTTTGCTCTGTCTGCATAGTGCAAAGGACATCTTTTCTTTGAAGGATGACAGAATGGGGAATCAAGTATTTCTGCAGTGCATGCCAGACCTGTACACTGTAGGAGTCCAGTGACTCACCTGCCAGAGCAAGACAGCCCCATGAGCTTCTTTTAGAAATCAACTCCAGTCTTGGGGCTGGAGAGATGGCTCAGTGTTTAAGAGCACTGACTGCTCTTGCAGAAAATCTGGGGTCAATTCCCAGCACCCGCATGGCAGCTAACAACTATCCATAGCTCCAGTTCCAGAGGAATCTCAATGCCCTCTTCTGACCTCCACGGCATTGCATGACACGGGTGTACTCACATACATGCAGGCAATACACTCATAAAATAAAAAAATGAGAAAAAAAAAGAGAGATTAACTCCAGTCTTAATAATTGTTTTATTAGGAGATTGATTAAGGAATCAGCAGAAATGTCCAGTGCCTCTAACTATGTTCTAGGAAGACTATTCTGATTTTTAAAAGCTGATTTCTCTTATATGCAGTTATGATTTTGTCACACTACAGTAGCCAAAAAATGGGAAACTGTGCTTTTAAAAGTTTAGACAGTCATGTCATTAAACACAGGTTGCTTTAGTATTGTGAAGAGGCTTTAGTAAGTTTTTGCTTGTGGTTACATGTTAGAATGCCCTAAAATAAATAATAAATGTCTGTTAATAAAGATTGCATTAAAATGAAAAAACAAAACAAAACAAAAATCCTATCAGTTATCTTAAAATTTTACCAATAGAAGACTAGTTTTTTGAATGACTTATTTAGCCTTCTCTCAGATCGTTTAATTGTCTAATCAGCTAGTGTCTGTGTTTATCATTTGAAATGCAGGACGTTGTTTTCCAGTGGCTCACAACAGGAGACATTCACCTAAATCAAATTGATGCTGAGGACCCAGAGGTAGGAGGCTCTGAATCCTGAGATGTAAATGGAAAATGGTCAAGCTTCTTAGACTATTTCTGATAGTTCCAAAGGGATATGTGTCTCTTTCAGCTGATCACTGAGATGGGAAGAAAGTAATGCTACTTGGGAGAAGGAAAGCTACATTGTAGAAAAAAAATAAATCAATAGACAAATTATGTAATTAACCATAGGATTATTGAGGTCAATCCCCCCATATAAATATCAGAATTTAAAATTTTCTCTCTGGGGCCTGGAAAGGTGGCTCAGCAGTTAAGAGCACTGACTGCTCTTGCAGAGGACCCTCTGGGTTTGGTTTCCAGCACCCACATGGTGGCTAACAACCATCAGTTAACTCCTGTTCCAGGGGATCTAAAGCTCTCTTCTGACCTCCGTGGCATTGTACAACATGGGTGCACTTAAATACATCCAGGCAATACACTCATACACAAAATAAAAATAATTAATAAAATATTTTAAAAAATTTGCTCTCTGGCCTCAGGATGGCTCACTGGTAGACTGCTGCCTGGCCTCATGCTAGGCCTTTATGTTTAGCACCATAAACAACAATAGCAAAACAAATACCATAAAACATGCTTGAAAGCCCGAACTTACAAATGAGTTATCTGTAGGAAAATTCTGCCTTAGAAATATGGAAGATTTTTTTTTTTTTTTGAGATAGAGTCTTACTCTGTAGCCTAGGCTATCCCCAGACTCCTGATCCTTCTGTCTCAGCCTCCCATATGCTGAGATTATAGGTTTCTGCCACCGCATCTGGCTAAAAATAATTTTCATGAAACAACAAATACCATCATATTTTAAAGCTTAAGTCATAATTTCATTGCCTTTTGAAGCAACAGTTCTAAAGACAGTTTGCTAATATTCATCAGATAAGGGAATGTGGTAAAACCAGCCTTAGAACCAGTAACTTTCTTTCTAGTTGTGACATCACCAATGGTTTGAGGACTGTAAGCAAGTTGGCGTTTTTGTTCTAACTTTCTTATCTGTGAGGTGGAGACACAAATGCTTTCTGCCTTATGATTGTGAGGCCTAAATGAAGACATGGACATTAACATTACTAAGTAATGTAAAAAGTGCTGTATAAAACTTGTTTGGGCCTGGAGAGTTGGCTCAGCAGTTAAGAGCACTAGCTGCTCTTGCAGAGGACCTGGGCTCAGTTCTCAGCACCCACATGATGCCCAACACCCTCCCATAACTCCAGTTCCAGGGTAGTCTAATATCCTCTTCTGGCCTCCAAAGGCATTGCATGACAGGGGCACACTTACATGCAGGCAAAACATTCATATTCATAAAATTTTAAAAAGACTCGTTTGTTTTGGAGTGCTTAGAATCAAATAGGGCTAAGCAACTGTTCTATCTCTGAGCAGTAAGTACCCGTTGCCTAACTTTTCTGTGTCATATATTTACACATAGGTCATCTCATTTAGTCTTTTTTCTTTTTTTTTTTTTTTGGTTTTTTTGAGACAGGGTCTCCCTGTAGCCCCCCCTGACCTGGAACTCACTACGTAGACCAGGCTGGCCTT